TAAACAACACGTTATAAGTCCTTCACAGTAGGACAGGTAGAGGTACAGGCTAAACAACACGTTATAAGTCCTTCACAGCAGGACAGTTACAGGCTAAACAACACGTTATAAGTCCTTCACAGCAGGACAGTTACAGGCTGAACAACACGTTATAAGTCCTTCACAGCAGGACAGGTAGAGGTACAGGCTAAACAACACGTTATAGGTCCTTCACAGCAGGACAGGTACAGGCTAAACAACACGTTATAAGTCCTTCACAGCAGGACAGGTACAGGCTGAACAACACGTTATAAGTCCTTCACAGCAGGACAGGTAGAGGTACAGGCTAAACAACACGTTATAAGTCCTTCACAGCAGGACAGGTAGAGGTACAGGCTAAACAACACGTTATAAGTCCTTCACAGCAGGACAGGTAGAGGTACAGGCTAAACAACACGTTATAAGTCCTTCACAGCAGGACAGGTAGAGGTACGGGCTAAACAACACGTTATAAGTCCTTCACAGCAGGACAGGTACAGGCTAAACAACACGTTATAAGTCATTCACAGCAGGACAGGTAGAGGTACAGGCTGAACAACACGTTATAAGTCCTTCACAGCAGGACAGGTGGAGGTACAGGCTAAACAACACGTTATAAGTCCTTCACAGCAGGACAGGTACAGGCTAAACAACACGTTATAAGTCCTTCACAGCAGGACAGGTAGAGGTACAGGCTAAACAACACGTTATAAGTCCTTCACAGCAGTAGAGGTACAGGCTAAACAACACGTTATAAGTCCTTCACAGCAGGACAGGTAGAGGTACAGGCTGAACAACACGTTATAAGTCCTTCACAGCAGGACAGGTAGAGGTACAGGCTAAACAACACGTTATAAGTCCTTCACAGCAGGACAGGTAGAGGTACAGGCTGAACAACACGTTATAAGTCCTTCACAGCAGGACAGGTAGAGGTACAGGCTAAACAACACGTTATAAGTCCTTCACAGCAGGACAGGTACAGGCTAAACAACACATTATAAGTCCTTCACAGCAGGACAGGTAGAGGTACAGGCTAAACAACATGTTATAAGTTATTCACAGCAGGACAGGTACAGGCTAAACAACACGTTATAAGTCCTTCACAGCAGGACAGGTAGAGGTACAGGCTAAACAACACGTTATAAGTCCTTCACTGCAGGACAGGTAGAGGTACAGGCTAAACAACACGTTATAAGTCCTTCACAGCAGGACAGGTAGAGGTACAGGCTAAACAACACGTTATAAGTCCTTCACAGCAGGACAGGTAGAGGTACAGGCTAAACAACACGTTATAAGTCCTTCACAGCAGGACAGGTAGAGGTACAGGCTAAACAACACGTTATAAGTCCTTCACAGCAGGACAGGTGGAGGTACAGGCTGAACAACACGTTATAAGTCCTTCACAGCAGGACAGGTAGAGGTACAGGCTGAACAACACGTTATAAGTCCTTCACAGCAGGACAGGTAGAGGTACAGGCTAAACAACACGTTATAAGTCCTTCACAGTAGGACAGGTAGAGGTACAGGCTAAACAACACGTTATAAGTCCTTCACAGCAGGACAGTTACAGGCTAAACAACACGTTATAAGTCCTTCACAGCAGGACAGTTACAGGCTGAACAACACGTTATAAGTCCTTCACAGCAGGACAGGTAGAGGTACAGGCTAAACAACACGTTATAAGTCCTTCACAGCAGGACAGGTACAGGCTAAACAACACGTTATAAGTCCTTCACAGCAGGACAGGTACAGGCTAAACAACACGTTATAAGTCCTTCACAGCAGGACAGGTAGAGGTACAGGCTAAACAACACGTTATAAGTCCTTCACAGCAGGACAGGTAGAGGTACAGGCTAAACAACACGTTATAAGTCCTTCACAGCAGGACAGGTAGAGGTACAGGCTAAACAACACGTTATAAGTCCTTCACAGCAGGACAGGTAGAGGTACGGGCTAAACAACACGTTATAAGTCCTTCACAGCAGGACAGGTACAGGCTAAACAACACGTTATAAGTCATTCACAGCAGGACAGGTAGAGGTACAGGCTGAACAACACGTTATAAGTCCTTCACAGCAGGACAGGTGGAGGTACAGGCTAAACAACACGTTATAAGTCCTTCACAGCAGGACAGGTACAGGCTAAACAACACGTTATAAGTCCTTCACAGCAGGACAGGTAGAGGTACAGGCTAAACAACACGTTATAAGTCCTTCACAGCAGTAGAGGTACAGGCTAAACAACACGTTATAAGTCCTTCACAGCAGGACAGGTAGAGGTACAGGCTGAACAACACGTTATAAGTCCTTCACAGCAGGACAGGTAGAGGTACAGGCTAAACAACACGTTATAAGTCCTTCACAGCAGGACAGGTAGAGGTACAGGCTGAACAACACGTTATAAGTCCTTCACAGCAGGACAGGTAGAGGTACAGGCTAAACAACACGTTATAAGTCCTTCACAGCAGGACAGGTACAGGCTAAACAACACGTTATAAGTCCTTCACAGCAGGACAGGTAGAGGTACAGGCTAAACAACATGTTATAAGTTATTCACAGCAGGACAGGTACAGGCTAAACAACACGTTATAAGTCCTTCACAGCAGGACAGGTAGAGGTACAGGCTAAACAACACGTTATAAGTCCTTCACTGCAGGACAGGTAGAGGTACAGGCTAAACAACACGTTATAAGTCCTTCACAGCAGGACAGGTAGAGGTACAGGCTAAACAACACGTTATAAGTCCTTCACAGCAGGACAGGTAGAGGTACAGGCTAAACAACACGTTATAAGTCCTTCACAGCAGGACAGGTAGAGGTACAGGCTAAACAACACGTTATAAGTCCTTCACAGCAGGACAGGTAGAGGTACAGGCTAAACAACACGTTATAAGTTCTTCACAGCAGGACAGGTAGAGGTACAGGCTAAACAACACGTTATAGACACATTATAACTGCCACAGGACCTCCAATACAGACATCCATTGAAATGTTATCATTACTCAGAGAAGAGACCAAGACATAGGAAACATGTATTATATACACACACATAATTTATTACAAATGATCACCATTATTACAAATCATGGCACGAACATTTCAAAAGTAAAATCCAAAATGTATTGTTGATCAGAAGAGGAAGTGTCTACCAGGTCAGGTTGTCCTCTGGTCCCAGATCTAAGAGGCAATATGTCCTGTTGTCCTCTGGTCCCAGATCTAAGAGGCAATATGTCCTGTTGCCCTCTGGTCCCAGATCTAAGAGACAATATGTCCTGTTGTCCTCTGGTCCCAGGTCTAAGAGACATTATGTCCGGTTGTCCTCTGGTCCCAGATCTAAGAGACAATATGTCCTGTTGATAAACAGAACTTACCGTTACCGAGATACCATACCAAGAGATAAACAGAACTTACCGTTACCGAGATACCATACCAAGAGATAAACAGAACATACCGTTACCGAGATACCATACCAAGAGATAAACAGAACTTACCGTTACCGAGATACCATACCAAGAGATAAACAGAACATACCGTTACCGAGATACCATACCAAGAGATAAACAGAACTTACCGTTACCGAGATACCATACCAAGAGATAAACAGAACATACCGTTACCGAGATACCATACCAAGAGATAAACAGAACTTACCGTTACCGAGATACCATACCAAGAGATAAACAGAACTTACCGTTACTGAGATACCATACCAAGAGATAAACAGAACTTACCGTTACTGAGATACCATACCAAGAGATAAACAGAACTTACCGTTACCGAGATACCATACCAAGAGATAAACAGAACTTACCGTTACCGAGATACCATACCAAGAGATAAACAGAACTTACCGTTACCGAGATACCATACCAAGAGATAAACAGAACTTACCGTTACCGAGATACCATACCAAGAGATAAACAGAACTTACCGTTACCGAGATACCATACCAAGAGATAAACAGAACTTACCGTTACCGAGATACCATACCAAGAGATACAGAACTTACCGTTACTGAGATACCATACCAAGAGATAAACAGAACTTACCGTTACCGAGATACCATACCAAGAGATAAACAGAACTTACCGTTACCGAGATACCATACCAAGAGATAAACAGAACTTACCGTTACCGAGATACCATACCAAGAGATAAACAGAACTTACCGTTACCGAGATACCATACCAAGAGATAAACAGAACTTACCGTTACTGAGATACCATACCAAGAGATAAACAGAACTTACCGTTACTGAGATACCATACCAAGAGATAAACAGAACTTACCGTTACTGAGATACCATACCAAGAGATAAACAGAACTTACCATTACCGAGATACCATACCAAGAGATACCATCTTACTGACACCGAGCCTCACCAAGTGTGGACATGGAAAATTGTTTTCTTCTCTTTACCATTTTTTTAAGGAAAATGGAAAACCATATGGAAATTTGCTCTTTTTGTGAAAACGTTTATTTTTTATTTTTTTATGGTCTTTATTTTGTCAGCTTTTTTGTGGGGATGTTTTTTTTCCAGCTGGTTTTGTTTATTTCATCAATGCCATCACAGCTGCAGGATTCTCCAATGTTTTTTTTCTGTTTTTTTTTTGCAGCTGATTGTTTTTGGGGGGGACCATTTCTAGTCTTTATTTTTTTTTTGACATTTCAAAAATAAATCCAAGGAAGAATCGAGAAGCAAAGCTGTCATACAAATCATTAAAATCCAGACATAAAATATTTACACAAGAAGCAACCTTAATATCACACAGTCAACACGTCATTTAGTAACTTCCCCCTTCTGCGGTTCTCACTTTTAAACATTGCACAGCGTTCAACACAATGCTCTTATGGCATCATTTGATCTGATCGGTCAATGCCATTTTTCTAAAGTCATCTGGTATCAGATCATTTCTACCCAATAAGCAAAAATAAACTGTACCATCTTAATGTTATCAAACTATTTGTACAAATGAAAAGCAGGAAGAAAAAAAAAACAGTATTTCCATGAACCTCCAACAGTACTTTGTCTAGTAATCTATTGAATCAGTACAACAGAATGAATTAGCTGTTTAGGTTCTAACCATAGTGAAATGCACCTAGAAGTTTCAAAAACAGACAGCCAATCAGAAACTGCAAAGCAATAAAAAGTTGCGTTAGCGTTTCGTCCAATCAGGGCCGTCTTCATCTGCGCCAGGGGCGGGGCTCGTTGTCATCATCCTCCTCATCGTCGTCCTGTAGCAACGCATCATCAATCAGCGACTCTTCCTGGAACTACAAAGGGACAAGACAGGGTGAGACAAACACTTTTATAATGAATGAAAAAAGGTAGAAAGATATTCCCTGGCTATCCAAACTCATTGATCTGGCCAAACGCTACGCCCAAGGATGTTAGTTTCATTACATTCTAGTCATTTAGCAGATGCTCTTATCCAGAGCGACTTACAGGAACAATTAGGGTTAAGTGCCTTGCTCAAGGGCACGCCGGCATATTTTTCACCTAGTCGGCTCAGGGATTTGAACCAGCAAACGCTCTTAACCTCTACGCTACCTGCCGCCCTCTTCTCCTCAATGAGTCTGGATCTGAGTACCTTTCACCGAATGCCAACACATTCGGGGACCGTCTGACCCTGTCCAGAAACCGATGGGTTGGACCAGAGCCAGAACACACACGTTGGTAAAGTGATTTGACATGTTTTTATTGGCTTTGATACTCTGATCGGTTAGAGATGATCCAAATCGCTGATGACTTAGGTCTTGAACAACTTCTCCTGCGCGCCTCGTCACCACAAAAAGGACTTGGACGACGGCAGTCTCAGACTAAAGTACGTAGTGAACGACAGAGCAGCAGAATCATTTAGTGAGGCATCAAGCTAATAGAGAAACAAACCACCTTACATTTCTGCCTCCCATTGTCTCATTTTTCATCGGATGAGTGTGGCCTTTGAGAAAGCCTTACCTGTGAATCGCTGTGCCCAACACACTCATTCTCCAAACACTTCTACAACCATTAGCATTAACATCCATTACTCCGTAACTGTCAAAACACACTCATTCTCCAAACACTTCTACAACCATTAGCATTAACATCCATTACTCCGTAACTGTCAAAACACACTCATTCTCCAAACACTTCTACAACCATTAGCATTAACATCCATTACTCCGTAACTGTCAAAACACACTCATTCTCCAAACACTTCTACAACCATTAGCATTAACATCCATTACTCCGTAACTGTCAAAACACACTCATTCTCCAAACACTTCTACAACCATTAGCATTAACATCCATTACTCCGTAACTGTCAAAACACACTCATTCTCCAAACACTTCTACAACCATTAGCATTAACATCCATTACTCCGTAACTGTCAAAACACACTCATTCTCCAAACACTTCTACAACCATTAGCATTAACATCCATTACTCCGTAACTGTCAAAACACACTCATTCTCCAAACACTTCTACAACCATTAGCATTAACATCCATTACTCCGTAACTGTCAAAACACACTCATTCTCCAAACACTTCTACAACCATTAGCATTAACATCCATTACTCCGTAACTGTCAAAACAACACCCCCTTCACCTCGTCATGATCTGGCTCCTGCTCGTCAGGCTCCTGGGAGGTCAGGGAGACGGCAGGCTTGTGCCAGGACAGACGCAACTCGCTGCTGTTCAGACGAACACCGTGCACCGCCGCCTACGGGAGGGAGGGAAAGGAAGGAAGGAGAGAGAGAGAGAGAGAGGGAACACAGCGGACAAGTAGGAGAGGAGAGGAAGGGAGAGAAAGAGTGAGGAAGACGTGAGGACAAGGTAAAGGATGACTGGGTTCAATGTCAAGTGGTGTATCACTGGGTTCAATGTCCAGCGGTGTATCACTGGGTTCAATGGTGTATCACTGGGTTCAATGGTGTATCACTGGGTTCAATGTCCAGCGGTGTATCACTGGGTTCAATGGTGTATCACTGGGTTCAATGTCCAGTGGTGTATCACTGGGTTCAATGGTGTATCACTGGGTTCAATGGTGTATCACTGGGTTCAATGTCCAGCGGTGTATCACTGGGTTCAATGGTGTATCACTGGGTTCAATGTCAAGTGGTGTATCACTGGGTTCAATGGTGTATCACTGGGTTCAATGGTGTATCACTGGGTTCAATGGTGTATCACTGGGTTCAATGGTGTATCACTGGGTTCAATGGTGTATCACTGGGTTCAATGGGTTCAATGTCCAGTGGTGTATCACTGGGTTCAATGGTGTATCACTGGGTTCAATGTCCAGCGGTGTATCACTGGGTTCAATGGTGTATCACTGGGTTCAATGGTGTATCACTGGGTTCAATGGTGTATCACTGGGTTCAATGGTGTATCACTGGGTTCAATGGTGTATCACTGGGTTCAATGGTGTATCACTGGGTTCAATGGTGTATCACTGGGTTCAATGGTGTATCACTGGGTTCAATGGTGTATCAATGGGTTCAATGGTGTATCACTGGGTTCAATGTCCAGCGGTGTATCACTGGGTTCAATGTCCAGTGGTGTATCACTGGGTTCAATGGTGTATCACTGGGTTCAATGGTGTATCACTGGGTTCAATGTCCAGCGGTGTATCACTGGGTTCAATGGTGTATCACTGGGTTCAATGTCCAGTGGTGTATCACTGGGTTCAATGGTGTATCACTGGGTTCAATGGTGTATCACTGGGTTCAATGTCCAGCGGTGTATCACTGGGTTCAATGGTGTATCACTGGGTTCAATGTCAAGTGGTGTATCACTGGGTTCAATGGTGTATCACTGGGTTCAATGGTGTATCACTGGGTTCAATGGTGTATCACTGGGTTCAATGGTGTATCACTGGGTTCAATGGGTTCAATGTCCAGTGGTGTATCACTGGGTTCAATGGTGTATCACTGGGTTCAATGTCCAGCGGTGTATCACTGGGTTCAATGGTGTATCACTGGGTTCAATGGTGTATCACTGGGTTCAATGGTGTATCACTGGGTTCAATGGTGTATCACTGGGTTCAATGGTGTATCACTGGGTTCAATGGTGTATCACTGGGTTCAATGGTGTATCACTGGGTTCAATGGTGTATCACTGGGTTCAATGGTGTATCACTGGGTTCAATGGTGTATCAATGGGTTCAATGGTGTATCACTGGGTTCAATGTCCAGCGGTGTATCACTGGGTTCAATGTCCAGCGGTGTATCACTGGGTTCAATGTCCAGCGGTGTATCACTGGGTTCAATTGTGTATCACTGGGTTCAATGGTGTATCACTGGGTCCAATGGTGTATCACTGGGTTCAATGGTGTATCACTGGGTTCAATGGTGTATCACTGGGTTCAATGGTGTATCACTGGGTTCAATGGTGTATCACTGGGTTCAATGGTGTATCACTGGGTTCAATGGGTTCAATGTCCAGTGGTGTATCACTGGGTTCAATGTCCAGCGGTGTATCACTGGGTTCAATGTCCAGCGGTGTATCATTAGGTTGAAAGACAGTGTTGAACCCTTTACCTGTTCAGCCTCTGGTCTGCTCCTGTAGGTGATAACAGCCAGAAAGGAAGTATCGTCTATCTGACAGTCCTCCAACTCTCCAAATTGCTGCAGAAAGGAGAACAACAAGACGAAAGATGGAATAAAATATGAACTCGCCGGTCTCTTAGTCCAGGAGTCTGAACTCATTCATTCACCCAAGCAAACCGATATCAGGGCACTACTGACAACCATTTGGTTTTCAACAATTTCAAGAAATTTAACAGCTATTTTCTCCAACAAACATTCCAAATGAAATTCATAGAAACCAGACATGGTTCATTAAAACTAGTTTAAACCAGACAGGGCTCATTAAAACTAGCTTAAACCAGACAGGGGTTAATTAAAACTAGTTTAAACCAGACCGGGTTCATTAAAACTAGTTTAAACCAGACAGGGCTCATTAAAACTAGTTTAAACCAGACAGGGGTTCATTAAAACTAGTTTAAACCAGACAGGGGTTCATTAAAACTAGTTTAAACCAGACAGGGCTCATTAAAACTAGTTTAAACCAGACAGGGTTCATTAAAACTAGTTTAAACCAGACAGGGCTCATTAAAACTAGTTTAAACCAGACCGGGTTCATTAAAACTAGTGTAAACCAGACCGGGGTTCATTAAAACTAGTTTAAACCAGACAGGGGTTCATTAAAACTAGTGTAAACCAGACCGGGGTTCATTAAAACTAGTTTAAACCAGACAGGGGTTCATTAAAACTAGTTTAAACCAGACAGGGGTACATTAAAACTAGTTTAAACCAGACAGGGGTTCATTAAAACTAGTGTAAACCAGACAGGGGTTCATTAAAACTAGTGTAAACCAGACAGGGGTTCATTAAAACTAGTTTAAACCAGACAGGGGTTCATTAAAACTAGTTTAAACCAGACAGGGGTTCATTAAAACTAGTTTAAACCAGACAGGGGTTCATTAAAACTAGTTTAAACCAGACAGGGGTTCATTAAAACTAGTTCAAACCAGACAGGGCTCATTAAAACTAGTTTAAACCAGACAGGGGTTCATTAAAACTAGTTTAAACCAGACCGGGGTACATTAAAACTAGTTTAAACCAGACAGGGGTTCATTAAAACTAGTGTAAACCAGACAGGGGTTCATTAAAACTAGTTGTAAACCAGACAGGGGTTCATTAAAACTAGTTTAAACCAGACAGGGGTTCATTAAAACTAGTTTAAACCAGACAGGGGTTCATTAAAACTAGTTTAAACCAGACAGGGGTTCATTAAAACTAGTTTAAACCAGACCGGGTTCATTAAAACTAGTTTAAACCAGACAGGGCTCATTAAAACTAGTTTAAACCAGACCGGGTTCATTAAAACTAGTTTAAACCAGACCGGGTTCATTAAAACTAGTTTAAACCAGACCGGGGTTCATTAAAACTAGTTTAAACCAGACAGGGGTTCATTAAAACTAGTTTAAACCAGACAGGGCTTCATTAAAACTAGTTTAAACCAGACAGGGCTTCATTAAAACTAGCTTAAACCAGACAGGGCTTCATTAAAACTAGCTTAAACCAGACAGGGCTTCATTAAAACTAGTTTAAACCAGACAGGGCTTCATTAAAACTAGTTTAAACCAGACAGGGCTTCATTAAAACTAGCTTAAACCAGACAGGGGTTCATTAAAACTAGCTTAAACCAGACAGGGGTTCATTAAAAACTAGCTTACAACGGTTCATTAAAACTAGCTTTAAACCAGACAGGGGTTCATTAAAACTAGCTTAAACCAGACAGGGTTCATTAAAACTAGCTTAAACCAGACAGGGGTTCATTAAAACTAGCTTAAACCAGACAGGGGTTCATTAAAACTAGCTTAAACCAGACAGGGGTTCATTAAAACTAGCTTAAACCAGACAGGGGTTCATTAAAACTAGCTTAAACCAGACAGGGGTTCATTAAAACTAGTTTAAACCAGACAGGGGTTCATTAAAACTAGTTTAAACCAGACAGGGGTTCATTAAAACTAGTTTAAAAACCAGAAGGGTCATTAAAAACTAGTTTAAAAAAAAACCAGACAGGGGTCATTAAAACTAGTTTAAACCAGACAGGGGTTATTAAACTATTTAAAAATCATAAAACTGTTAAACCAGACAGGGTTCATTAAAACTATTTAAACCAGACAGGGGTTCATTAAAACTAGTTTAAAAAAATACAAAAAAACCAGACAGGGTTCATTAAAACTAGTTTAAACCAGACAGGGGTTCATTAAAACTAGTTTAAACCAGACAGGGGTTCAATTAAAAACTAGTTTAAACCAGACAGGGGTTTCATAAAACTAGTTAACAGACGGGGCTCAATTAAACTAGTTTAAACCAGACAGGGGTTCATTAAAACTAGTTTAACCAGACAGGGGTTCATTAAAACTAGCTTAAACCAGACAGGGGCTCATTAAAACTAGTTTAAACCAGACAGGGGCTTCATTAAAACTAGTTTAAACCCAGACTGGGTTCATTAAAAACTAGTTTAAACCAGACCGGGTTCATTAAAACTAGTTTAAACCAGACAGGGTTCATTAAAACTAGTGTTAACCAGAAGGGGTTCATTAAAAACTAGTTTTAAACCAGACAGGGGTTCATTAAAAACTAGTTTAAACCAGACAGGGGTTCATTAAAACTAGTTTAAACCAGACAGGGGTTCATTAAAACTAGTTTTAAACCAGACAGGGGTTCATTAAAACTAGTTTAAACCAGACAGGGGTTCATTAAAACTAGTTTAAACCAGACAGGGGTTCATTAAAACTAGTTTAAACCAGACAGGGGGTTTCATTAAAACTAGTTTAAACCAGACAGGGGTTCATTAAAACTAGTTTAAACCAGACAGGGGTTCATTAAAACTAGTTTAAACCAGACAGGGGTTCATTAAAAACTAGTTTAAACCAGACAGGGGTTCATTAAAACTAGTTAAACCAGACAGGGTTCCATTAAAACTAGTTTAAACCAGACAGGGGTTTCATTAAAACTAGTTTAAACCAGACAGGGGTTCATTAAAACTAGTTTAAACCAGACAGGGGGTTCATTAAAACTAGTTTAAAACCAGACAGGGGTTCATTAAAAACTAGTTTAAACCCAGACAGGGGTTCATTAAAACTAGTTTAAACCAGACAGGGGTTCATTAAAACTAGTTTAAACCAGACAGGGGTTCATTAAAACTAGTTTAAACCAGACAGGGGTTCATTAAAACTAGTTTAAACCAGACAGGGGTTTATTAAAACTAGTTTAAACAAGACAGGGGTTCATTAAAACTAGTTTAAACCAGACAGGGGTTCATTAAAACTATTTAAAAACCAGACAAGGGGTTCATTAAAACTAGTTTAATAAATAAAACAGACAGGGGTTCTTAAACTAGTTTAAACCAGACAGGGGTTCATTAAAACTAGTTTAAACCAGACAGGGTTCATTAAAACTAGTTTAAAAACCAGACAGGGGTTCATTAAAACTAGTTTAAAAAAAACCAGACAGGGGTCATTAAAACTAGTTTAAACCAGACAGGGGTTCATTAAAACTAGTTTAAAACCAGACAGGGGTTCATTAAAACTAGTTTAAAAAAACAGACAGGAAACTAGTTTAAACCAGACAGTGGTCTCATTAAAACTAGTTTAAACCAGACAGGGGTTCATTAAAACTAGTTTTAAACCAGACAGGGTTCATTAAAACTAGTTTAAACCAGACAGGGGTTCATTAAAACTAGTTTAAAAACCAGACAGGGGTTCATTAAAACTAGTTTAACCAGACAGGGGTTCATTAAAACTAGTTTAAAACCAGACAGGGGTTCATTAAAACTAGTTTTAAACCAGACAGGGGTTCATTAAAACTAGTTATAAACCAGACAGGGTTCATTAAAACTAGTTTTAAAACCAGACCAGGGTTCATTAAAACTAGTTTAAAACCAGACAGGGTTCATTAAAACTAGTTTAAACCAGACAGGGGTCATTAAAACTAGTTTAAAACCAGACAGGGGTTCATTAAAACTAGTTTAAAAACCAGACAGGGGTTCATTAAAACTAGTTTAAACCAGACAGGGGTTCATTAAAACTAGTTTAAACCAGACAGGGGTTCATTAAAACTAGTTTAAAAACCAGACAGGGGTTCATTAAAACTAGTTTAAAACCAGACAGGGGTTCATTAAAACTAGTTTAAACCAGACAGGGTTCATTAAAACTAGTTTAAACCAGACAGGGGTTCATTAAAACTAGTTTAAACCAGACAGGGGTTCATTAAAACTAGTTTAAACCAGACAGGGGTTCATTAAAACTAGTTTAAACCAGACAGGGGTGCATTAAAACAGTTTAAAACCAGACAGGGGGTTCATTAAAACTAGTTTTAAACCAGACAGGGGTTCATTAAAACTAGTTTAAACCAGACAGGGGTTCATTAAAACTAGTTTAAACCAGACAGGGGTTCATTAAAACTAGTTTAAACCAGGAACAGGGGTTCATTAAAACTAGTTTAAACCAGACAGGGGTTCATTAAAACTAGTTTTAAACCAGACCAGGGGTTCATTAAAACTAGTTTAAACCAGACAGGGGTTCATTAAAACTAGTTTAAACCAGACAGGGGTTCATTAAAACTAGTTTAAACCAGACAGGGGTTCATTAAAACTAGTTTAAACCAGACAGGGGTTCATTAAAACTAGTTTAAACCAGACAGGGGTTCATTAAACTAGTTTAAACCAGGACAGGGCTCATTAAAACTAGTTTAAACCAGACCGGGCTCATTAAAACTAGTTTAAACCAGACAGGGGTTCATTAAAACTAGTTTTAAACACCAGACAGGGGTTCATTAAAACTATGTTTAAACCAGACAGGGGGTTCATTAAAACTAGTTTAAAAACCAGACAGGGGTTCATTAAAACTAGTTTAAACCAGACAGGGGTTCATTAAAACTAGTTTTAAAACCAGACCAGGGGTCCATTAAAAACTAGTTTTCAAACCGGACATGGGGTTACATCAAAAACTAGTTTAAACCAGACAGGGGTTCATTAAAACTAGTTTAAACCAGACAGAAGTCCAACTTACAGCGAAGTGCGGCAGCAGGTCCTGGAGGTCAGCGTCTGTAAAGCCAGAGATCTCCAGGGCTCTGGGTCTGTGGTCTACCGTGGAGTGGGCAGGGAGACCCCTACCCCGGCACCCCCTACCCCTACCCCTGCTCCTCAGGGACCCACGGCCTCTAGCATGGGCCCCTCTGCCCCGCCCTGGAGCCAGGATCCCCCTCTTAGCTGCCTGGAGAGGAGAGGGGGGGGGACAGCCACAGGATGCTCAAATGTTACCTCAACACACACACACACACAATGCAAGCTATAAGATGCAACAGAGCCATGAAGAAGAAAACGCAGTGTGTGAGCACCCCCAAGTGGCTGAACAGAGACAGTATATGAATTGGTACACATTGAACATGTAAGTGATTGAAGGTGAATGCTAGTTCATCAGATAGATGTAACTGTCCATCTGACCTTCAGTTGAACCTTACCTCTAACTGTAGTTGTGTGTATCTGATCTTCAGTTGAACAGCGTCTTCTCCTGACTGGATCTTCTTATAAAGGTCCAGTTCTGTGTCCAGCAACTCCTTCTGAGCCTACAGACAGACAGACAGACAGACAGACATACAGAGAGACAGAGAGACAGACAGACAGAGACAGACAGAGAGAGAGAGAGACAGACAGACAGACAGACAGACAGACAGACAGACAGACAGACAGACAGACAGACAGACAGACAGAGAGACAGAGAGACAGAGAGAGAGACAGAGAGACAGACAGGAGAAAACATTTCACACTCCTCTTTCTCCAAAACTGCTTGGCATATTTTCTGTTAGCTTGTTACGTTTACGTCCTTTAGCAGGACGCTCTTATCCAGAGACTTACAGAAGTGAGCGCATACATTTTTGTACTGGTTCCCCCGTGGGAATCGAACCCACAACCCTGGCGTTGCAACCGCCATGCTCTACCAATTGAGCCACACACGTGGTGTGTGTGTGTGTGTGTGTGTGTGTGTGTGCAGGGTTCAGTCTCCCGAGTGGCGCAGTGGTCTAAGGCACTGCATCGCAGTGCTAGCTGTGCCACTAGAGATCCTGGTTCGAATCCAGGCTCTGTCATAGCCGGCCGCGACCGGGAGACCCATGGGGGCGGCACACAATTGGCCCAGCGTCGTCCAGGGTAGGGGAGGGAATGGCCGGCAGGGATGTAGCTCAGTTGGTAGAGCATGGCGTTTGCAACGCCAGGGTTGTGGGTTCGATTCCCACGGGGGTCCAGTATGAAAAATATAAAACAAAAATAAAAAATAAAACAAATTCAAAAAAATAAAATAAAAAAATAATGTATGCACTCACTAACTGTAAGTCGCTCTGGATAAGAGCGTCTGCTAAATGACTAAAATGTAAAATGTTCATACAGAACCAGGCTAATAATGACTAGCCATCTTTTAAATTAACATGCCCTTTGTGTTCTTCCATTTTATTGAATAGATTTACTGCAACAGCAAAGAAAAAGAGACCAAATGGATTCACTGCAGATTTCAAACTGCCATGTGTTGTTCTCTGCTAAATCCCCTAGAAGGCAGAACTAAATGAACCAATACTTGATACCAAAAGAGACGCCACGTTAAACAAAAGGGGAGAACTGATTTTTTTTTTTTTTTTTAAGTTTTCATTCTCAAAAATCACTTAACAGAAAAACTACAACATTGGAAGTTCTACGTCCACAACAACGCTTAAACCACATCAGGAGACCATTTTTTAGGGCTGGGAAAAATCTGAGAAATGTAGATTATTTAGAAGAAAATAAATAAATTAAAATTATAAATGATTTAGAATCATGATCCAGAGAAGCCCACCCTGATGCAGTCTGTCTGTGGTAGATAGTCAGTCTGATAAACACCCTGATGCAGTCTGTCTGTGTGGTAGATAGTCAGTCTGATAAACACCCTGATGCAGTCTGTCTGTGTGGTAGATAGTCAGTCTGATAAACACCCTGATGCAGTCTGTCTGTGTGGTAGATAGTCAGTCTGATAAACACCCTGATGCAGTCTGTCTGTGTGGTAGATAGTCAGTCTGATAAACACCCTGATGCAGTCTGTCTGTGGTAGATAGTCAGTCTGATAAACACCCTGATGCAGTCTGTCTGTGTGGTAGATAGTCAGTCTGATAAACACCCTGATGCAGTCTGTCTGTGGTAGATAGTCAGTCTGATAAACACCCTGATGCAGTCTGTCTGTGTGGTAGATAGTCAGTCTGATAAACACCCTGATGCAGTATGTCTGTGTGGTAGATAGTCAGTCTGGATAAACAACCCTGATGCAGTCTGTCTGGTGGTAGATAGTCAGTCTGATAAACACCCTGATGCAGTCTGTCTGTGGTAGATAGTCAGTCTGATAAACACCCTGATGCAGTCTGTCTGTGGTAGATAGTCAGTCTGATAAACACCCTGATGCAGTCTGTCTGTGTGGCAGATAGTCAGTCTCGCCATTTGTGATGTTGAAGAGTTATTGGAGGGGGGGGTCATGTTTTAAAAACGAGAACGCCACCAAAAAAACGACGTTCCCTTCGTAACGGAACGCTTTGTATGGAAAACCAAGTTGAAGCAAAAAGATTGGACGTTGTCTTGCTCATAAGAACAGCACATGGTTTTACTGCAACAAGCGCAACGGACTGGAGCAACACCATTCAATTTAAACGGCGGGAAACAAAATCACTCATTAAAAACTGTTCAGATAAGAAAATGACGGAATAATTATATTGGAACTTCTAAAATGTGCTACCATAACTTCTAATGACTTTTAAAAGGACCAAAGAGTCTAGAGGAAATGTCAAGATTTTCAAGCTAGGTTATGGTTATTCCATGATGACCGAATTGCGCAACGCAAATATTCAACCAAGACGTTGAACTTTTTAAATAGCTGGTTTGCCCTTCCCATTCTCGCCTTGGCATTTACTGGTAGAAACCAGAACTTGGAACATCTTCCCCTGCCACCACTTCGCTCCACGTAACAAGCAGCTGTTTGAGAGCTGCACCCTCTCTCTCTGCCTGACAGGTTATCTATAGGATGTGTGTACAGCACCGTAAACAGCTGCACCCTCTCTCCGCCTGACAGGTTATCTATAGGATATGTGTACAGCACCGTAAAACAGCTGCACCCTCTCTCTCTCTGCCTGACAGGTTATCTATAGGATGTGTGTGCAGCACCGTAAACAGCTGCACCCTCTCTCCGCCTGACAGGTTATCTATAGGATATGTGTACAGCACCGTAAAACAGCTGCACCCTCTCTCTGCCTGACAGGTTATCTATAGGATATGTGTACAGCACCGTAAAACAGCTGCACCCTCTCTCTGCCTGACAGGTTATCTATAGGATGTGTGTACAGCACGCGTGTGATTAATAAAATCGACATAACGAACAGCTTCAGGAATCAATCCGTTTTTATAAATCAATTATATTGCCTAGGTTTATTCATCCATCATACAGCCTACATTAAAAATAGCATTATTACCATATTTATTTGTACACAGGCCCAAGTGGGCCACTGTTGGGGATGGATGGGACTGAACCGGACGGTGTCCAAAACCTCTCCTGTTTGTCGAGCCCTGACACTCTCAAGACAGGGGCTCCCCCCCCTGCCGTTGCTGCCTCTTCAGGAAGCTGGTTTAGTTTTTTGGCTAAATGACACGTTACCGTTTGAATAAGCCATGACGATCGGGTTATAGTGGTGAGCGTACCTGAGTCTTGCTCTTGGGTGGCCCCCGTAGTGCTGAAGGGTTAGAGATCCCTTTGATCTCCTGCTGTAGTTTGGTAATACTCTTGGTGAGGGTCCCCAGCGTTGTCATAATCACTGCCTTGTCCTCTGGCTTCATGGCCTTGTTCTTCTCCAGCTTACAGATCAACAGCTGGAACATGGAGAGTAGACAGAACGGTGACACCGGCAACCTTTTCAGGGGCCGGGGGGGGATACATTTTCAGGATTACTTCTCATGCCACCTCATCTCCTCTCCTCAGACCTTCTCCTCCAATGGGTTTGGAGAAGGAAAGGAGATAGGAATCGAGGAGTTGGGAATCAAGGAGTTGGGAATCGAGGAGATGGGAATCGAGGAGATGGGAATCGAGGACAGATGATTTGAGCCCATGGTGAGGAAAAACCATAGAGATAGATGGAGGACTCATCTTTATATCTGTGCCATTCCCAGTGTCTGTGCCAGCGTGGGCAGGGCTACAACCCATAGGAATCCCCAACCCGTTGACTACTTTAAAATGGCAGAAGCACGGTGGAAGCCCTTCACGGCGCTGCCCACGCTTAAACGGACTTTTGGCCACTAGAAACCTCTATCATTCTCTATGGGGAAAAAAACTCACCTTCTGAGTCTCGATGTGCTTCTCCAGGATTTCCTGCTTCTTTTTCCTCATTTCCTGTTGGAGCCGCAGGGCTTCCTGTCAGGGGAATCATGGGAAATATTAAAGTGATAATTCACCTCATCCACAACCATGGTAAAGTGCTTTGAGCGTCTGGAAAAGTGTTACATAAAGCCAACTGTTATGTTCAGACTCTTTCCCCAGAAGTCTCCTTATAGGATTAGAGATGAAAGACCATGACCCCTCCACCCTAACCCTCATTTCCCCCTTCTCCTCCATCTCGTCCTCCTTAGTCCCACCCTCTCCTCCTCCATCCATCCCACCCTCTCCTCCTCCATCCATCCCACCCTCTCCTCCATCCATCCCACCCTCTCCTCAACCTCCATCCCACCCTCTCCTCAACCTCCATCCATCCCATCCTCTCCTCCATCCATCCCACCCTCTCCTTCCTCCTACCATCCATCCCACCCTCTCCTCAACCTCAATCCCACCCTCTCCTCCATCCATCCCACCCACCCCTCCCCCCCCGAATCAATCACCCGACTGACCTCTCATCCCACCACTGCCTCCAACCCAATCACTCTCCTCCTCCGTCCATCCATCACCACCCTCACACAGACCACTCCTGCAACCTCCATCCCAACCTCTCCTCAAGCCTCCACATCCATCCGTCCTCCATCCATCCATCCCCACTCTCCCCTCCCCAAATCCTCCCTTCAACACATCAATCCCACCTCCCATAAGACGCAGTCACACCAACCCACGCATCCATCCACAGTCCTAACCAGCCTCCACCCAAACGCAGCGCTAACAGCCACCCCACGCCACCAGCAGCCACACCTCCGACCAAAACCCAACCTCCGAGCACATAACAATCACCACCCTCCACCTCCACCATCCCACCCTCCTCCTCCTCCAATCCACCCCCTCTCCTCCCATCTATCCCACCCCTCATCCTCCATCCATCCCACCCTCTCCTCCTCCATCTATCCCCCACCCTCTCCTCCTCCATCCACCCCACCCTTGCTGCATCCATCCCATCCCACCGGCCACCGGCCACCCCTCCTCCCTCCATCCATCCGACCCCCCCCCTCCTCCTCCATCCATACCCAACCCTCTCCTTCCTCCATCCACCCCCCCCCTCCCTCCCTCACATCCACATCCCACCCACCCCCTCCTCCATCCAACCATCCCAACCCTCTCCTCCTCCTCCATCCATCCCACCCTCTCCTCCTCCATCCATCCCACCCTCTCCTCCTCCATCCACCCACCCACCCTCTCCCTCCACCATCCATCCCACCCTCTCATCCTCCTTCCTCCATTCCATCCATCCAAGGTCCCCCCCCTCTATCCTCATCCATCCATCCCCCTCGCTGGCCCCATCTTCCTCTCTCACCTGTTTGTTCTTCATAGCCTCCTCTGTGGCAGTGACCCCAGCAAACAGAGCAGTCTTCTGAGCTGCTTTCAGAGCAGCCATGTTGTAAACTGTCTTAGTCAGCCCCGTAGAGGTGGAGAACACCTGATGGAGAGGAGGTCCAGTTAATGGTATTATTACTACTGTTACACTGTGGACTTATATAGGAGAACACCTGATGGAGGTCCAGTTAATGGTATTATTACTACTGTTATACTGTGGACTTATATAGGAGAACACCTGATGGAGGTCCAGTTAATGATATTATTACTACTGTTATACTGTGGACTTATATAGGAGAACACCTGATGGAGGTCCAGTTAATGGTAGTATTACTACTGTTATACTGTGGACTTATATAGGAGAACACCTGATGGAGGTCCAGTTAATGGTATTATTACTACTGTTACACTGTGGACTTATATAGGAGAACACCTGATGGAGGTCCAGTTAATGGTATTATTACTACTGTTACACTGTGGACTTATATAGGAGAACACCTGATGGAGGTCCAGTTAATGGTATTATTACTACTGTTATACTGTGGACTTATATAGGAGAACACCTGATGGAGGTCCAGTTAATGGTATTATTACTACTGTTATACTGTGGACTTATATAGGAGAACACCTGATGGAGGTCCAGTTAATGGTATTATTACTACTGTTATACTGTGGACTTATATAGGAGAACACCTGATGGAGGTCCAGTTAATGGTATTATTACTACTGTTATACTGTGGACTTATATAGGAGAACACCTGATGGAGGTCCAGTTAATGGTATTATTACTACTGTTATACTGTGGACTTATATAGGAGAACACCTGATGGAGGTCCAGTTAATGGTATTATTACTACTGTTATACTGTGGACTTATATAGGAGAACACCTGATGGAGGTCCAGTTAATGGTATTATTACTACTGTTATACTGTGGACTTATATAGGAGAACACCTGATGGAGGTCCAGTTAATGATATTACTACTTTATCTGGGGAGGAACCTGGAGGTCCCAGTTAATGGTATTATTACTACTGTTATAGGTGGACTTATATAGGAGAACACCTGATGGAGGTCCAGTTAATGGTATTATTACTACTGTTATACTGTGGACTTATATAGGAGAACACCTGATGGAGGTCCAGTTAATGGTATTATTACTACTGTTATACTGTGGACTTATATAGGAGAACACCTGATGGAGGTCCAGTTAATGGTATTATTACTACTGTTATACTGTGGACTTATATAGGAGAACACCTGATGGAGGTCCAGTTAATGGTATTATTACTACTGTTATACTGTGGACTTATATAGGAGAACACCTGATGGAGCTCCAGTTAATGGTATTATTACTACTGTTATACTGTGGACTTATATAGGAGAACACCTGATGGAGGTCCAGTTAATGGTATTATTACTACTGTTATACTGTGACTTATATAGGAGAACACCTGATGGAAGTCCAGTTAATGGTATTATTACTACTGTTACACTGTGGACTTATATAGGAGAACACCTGATGGAGGTCCAGTTAATGGTATTATTACTACTGTTATCCTGTGGACTTACATAGGAGAACACCTGATGGAGGTCCAGTTAATGGTATTATTACTACTGTTATACTGTGGACTTATATAGGAGAACACCTGATGGAGGTCCAGTTAATGGTATTATTACTACTGTTATACTGTGGACTTATATAGGAGAACACCTGATGGAGAGGAGGTATTATTACTACTGTTATACTGTGACTTATATAGGAGAACACCTGATGGAGGTCCAGTTAATGATATTATTACTACTGTTATACTGTGGACTTATATAGGATGAACACCTGATGGAGGTCCAGTTAATGGTATTATTACTACTGTTATACTGTGGGACTTATATAGGAGAACACCTGATGGAGGTCCAGTTAATGGTATTATTACTACTGTTATACTGTGGACTTATATAGGAGAACACCTGATGGAGGTCCAGTTAATGGTATTATTACTACTGTATACTGTGGACTTATATAGGAGAACACCTGATGGAGGTCCAGTTAATGGTATTATTACTACTGTTATACTGTGGACTTATATAGGAGAACACCTGATGGAGGTCCAGTTAATGGTATTATTACTACTGTTATACTGTGGACTTATATAGGAGAACACCTGATGGAGGTCCAGTTAATGGTATTATTACTACTGTTTATACTGTGGACTTATATAGGAGAACACCTGATGGAGGTCCAGTTAATGGTATTATTACTACTGTTATACTGTGGACTTATATAGGAGAACACCTGATGGAGGGTCCAGTTAATGGTATTATTACTACTGTTATACTGTGGACTTATATAGGAGAACACCTGATGGAGGTCCAGTTAATGGTATTATTACTACTGTTATACTGTGGACTTATATAGGAGAACACCTGATGGAGGTCCAGTTAATGGTATTATTACTACTGTTATACTGTGGACTTATATAGGAGAACACCTGATGAGGAGGTCCAGTTAATGGTATTATTACTACTGTTATACTGTGGACTTATATAGGAGAACACCTGATGGAGGTCCAGTTAATGTATTATTACTACTGTTATACTGTGGACTTATATAGGAGAACACCTGATGGAGGTCCAGTTAATGGTATTATTACTACTGTTATACTGTGGGACTTATATAGGAGAACACCTGATGGAGGCTCCAGTTTAATGGTATTATTACTACTGTTATACTGTGGACTTATATAGGAGAAACACCTGATGGAGGTCCAGTTAATGGTATTATTACTACTGTTATACTGTGGACTTATATAGGAGAACACCTGATGGAGGTCCCAGTTAATGGTATTATTACTTAACTGTTATACTGTGGACTTATATAGGAGAACACCTGATGGAGGTCCAGTTAATGGTATTATTCTACTGTTATACTGTGGACTTATATAGGAGAACACCTGAATGGAGGTCCAGTTAATGGTATTATTACTACTGTTATACTGTGGACTTATATAGGAGAACACCTGATGGAGGTCCAGTTAATGGTATTATTACTACTGTTATACTGTGGACTTATATAGGAGAACACCTGATGGAGGTCCAGTTAATGGTATTATTACTACTGTTATACTGTGGACTTATATAGGAGAACACCTGATGGAGGTCCAGTTAATGGTATTATTACTACTGTTTATTACTGTGGACTTATATAGGAGAACACCTGATGGAGGTCCAGTTAATGTATTATTACTACTGTTATACTGTGGACTTATATAGGAGAACACCTGATGGAGGTCCAGTTAATGGTATTATTACTACTGTTATAACTGTGGACGTTATATAGGAGAACACCTGATGGGTTGGACTGTTATATATAGGAGAACACCTGATGGAGGTCCAGTTAATTGTATTAAACTATATTTATATATATTTTTTACATTATTCCACTATTGTCCCAAAATGTTTTGCATGTCAGCAGTCAAGTTTTCAAGATATTGGACTTTGAAGAAGCAGAGTGTCCCTTAACCACGTCAGACGAGGCAAAACGTACATCATGATGACGAGGCAAGGGACACTTTGCATACTCCGAGTCCTCTCTCCTCACCTCCTGAAAACCCATTGGAGGAGGTGGTCAGATGGGCGGGACCTCTAGCTTTCTCATCCAATGGAGTTTTGAGGCGGTGGTGGTGAGGAGAGAGGACGCAAGGAGTATGCAATTGAGATTCTCCCAATGCTTCTTCAAAGTCCAATATCTTGAAAACGTGACCGCTGACATGAAAAACATTTTGGGACTGTATCAACAGTGGACTAACGGAAAAGAAAATACCAAAAGATAGTTTGAGTGGATTTTTCCTTTAAAAAAGGTACAGTTGTAGAAAATTCCCCATTAGCCTATCTCTATCCAATCTACCTCGGAAGAGGCGGGATTTCCTACGAAAAATCAGTCAAGAGTGGGAGAAGGGAATTTTCTACAAAAGAGTTACCAAGTAAAGTCACTCAGGGAGAGAGAGACTCTTCTAGATCATTCCACCATCAACACAGAGAACTGTCAATATATTGAAAAAGAGAAGAGGAGGACCGTTTTTTTTCCCCCTCTCACCTTTCCTGCCGGTCCACTAGGGTTACTTCCTGGTTTAGAGGGGAAGCCCAGCCTCTCCTTCACCGATAGGTTAGATTTGAAGGCATTCTGAGAGGCAACACTAGAGTCTTGGTTGGGCTCTGAGCTGTCAGAAGGCAGAGGGCCCAGGCGGTCTTTGACTGACTGTTTCAGACTAGTGGCTGGCTGCTGCACCTGCTGGAGTTCACACAACAACAACAACAAACAAACAAGGTCAACAACATAACATAGAAGGTCCATTACGTTGCTGTTTGACCCAACCAGCAGGAAAAACTCTGGGTCCTAAAATTAGAGTCTAAAACTGAGGCCGCTAATAATCAGTGGCATTGGGCAAAATGGCCGTCTGATGAAAAGGTGCTTCCTAAATCCAAGTGCACCACTTTTGACCCCCCGGTCCATAGGGCTCTAGTCAAAAGTAGTGCACTATTATAGGGAACAGGGTGCTATTTGGGATGTAGCCTTACCATGAGTGAGTGTGGTTGATGGTGTTGCTGCCCCTGCGGTCCCGTCCCCTGTTGCGGACCCGTCCCCTGTTGTGGTCCCGTCCCCTGTTGCGGTCCCGTCCCCTGTTGCGGTCCCGTCCCCTGTTGTGGTCCCGTCCCCTGTTGCGGTCCCGTCCCCTGTTGCGGTCCCGTCCCCTGTTGCGGTCCCGTCCCGTCCTCACGGTGCCAGTGGACCCTAATAAAGCGGTTGTTGAGAACGGCCTCGGGACTCTGCATGGCCCGTTTAGCCTCCTCGTGACAGCCAAACTGGATCAGGGCACCCTCCGGGTCACTACCATAGGTCACCTAGAGGGGAGGGGGGGGGGGGGGGTTAGGTTAACCCTCACTCACTGAGCAGTAGTGCACTATATTGGGGAATAGGGTGCCATACTTCCAAAATCATTCCAGCCTAAAGCAGAAAGGTGTTGTTAGCCGACCAGTCCAACCTGTAAGTTGACGATCGTCCCGAACTTGCTGAAGTGTTGGTTAAGCTTGGAGATGTTGTTGAGTTCCGGTGGGATCTGTCGGACCGTCAGCTTGGTGTTGGACCCAAACGCAGCCCTCTGGTTCTGGTGGGGAGGGTTCTTGGTGTGGAACCCACCCTGGAGGTTCTGCTGGTTGAAGTTAGGTCTGACAGAACACAAGGAGATTACAGGAACAGCTCCTGTACTGGTTTGTGTTCAAACATGTTTTTTTTTTTTTGTGTGTAAAAGGTTATTGACATGTTAGATGAACTAAAAATCAAAAATGGGACTTAACTGTTGTCCTATTGTTGTGGTTCTATGATGGTCTATGTAACCCTAACCCTGTCATTCTGCTGTCTCATGTCTTCAGACTATAACCCTGTCATTCTGCTGTCTCATGTCTTCAGACCCTAACCCTGTCATTCAACTGTCTCATGTCTTCAGACTATAACCCTGTCATTCAACTGTCTCATGTCTTCAGACTATAACCCTGTCATTCTACTGTCTCATGTCTTCAGACTATAACCCTGTCATTCAACTGTCTCATGTCTTCAGACCATAACCCTGTCTCATGTCTTCAGACCATAACCCTGTCATTCAACTGTCTCATGTCTTCAGACTATAACCCTGTCATTCTACTGTCTCATGTCTTCAGACTATAACCCTGTCATTCAACTGTCTCATGTCTTCAGACTATAACCCTGTCATTCAACTGTCTCATGTCTTCAGACTATAACCCTGTCATTCTACTGTCTCATGTCTTCAGACTATAACCCTGTCATTCTACTGTCTCATGTCTTCATACTATAACCCTGTCATTCAACTGTCTCATGTCTTCAGACCATAACCCTGTCTCATGTCTTCAGACCATAACCCTGTCATTCAACTGTCTCATGTCTTCAGACTATAACCCTGTCATTCAACTGTCTCATGTCTTCAGACTATAACCCTGTCTCATGTCTTCAGACCATAACCCTGTCATTCAACTGTCTCATGTCTTCAGACTATAACCCTGTCATTCAACTGTCTCATGTCTTCAGACCATAACCCTGTCATTCAACTGTCTCATGTCTTCAGACTATAACCCTGTCATTCAACTGTCTCATGTCTTCAGACTATAACCCTGTCATTCAACTGTCTCATGTCTTCAGACTATAACCCTGTCATTCTGCTGTCTCATGTCTTCAGACTACAACCCTGTCATTCAACTGTCTCATGTCTTCAGACTATAACCCTGTCATTCAACTGTCTCATGTCTTCAGACCCTAACCCTGTCATTCTACTGTCTCATGTCTTCAGACTATAACCCTGTCATTCAACTGTCTCATGTCTTCAGACTATAACCCTGTCATTCAGCTGTCTCATGTCTTCAGACTATAACCCTGTCATTCAACTGTCTCATGTCTTCAGACTATAACCCTGTCATTCAACTGTCTCATGTCTTCAGACCATAACCCTGTCATTCAACTGTCTCATGTCTTCAGACTATAACCCTGTCATTCAACTGTCTCATGTCTTCAGACTATAACCCTGTCATTCAGCTGTCTCATGTCTTCAGACTATAACCCTGTCATTCTGCTGTCTCATGTCTTCAGACCCTAACCCTGTCATTCAACTGTCTAATGTCTTCAGACCATAACCCTGTCATTCAACTGTCTCATGTCTTCAGACTATAACCCTGTCATTCAACCGTCTCATGTCTTCAGACTATAACCCTGTCATTCAACTGTCTCATGTCTTCAGACCATAACCCTGTCATTCAACTGTCTCATGTCTTCAGACCATAACCCTGTCATTCAACTGTCTCATGTCTTCAGACCCTAACCCTGTCATTCAACTGTCTAATGTCTTCAGACTATAACCCTGTCATTCAACTGTCTCATGTCTTCAGACCCTAACCCTGTCATTCAACTGTCTCATGTCTTCAGACTATAACCCTGTCATTCTGCTGTCTCATGTCTTCAGACTATAACCCTGTCATTCAACTGTCTAATGTCTTCAGACCATAACCCTGTCATTCAACTGTCTCATGTCTTCAGACTATAACCCTGTCATTCAACTGTCTCATGTCTTCAGACTATAACCCTGTCATTCAACTGTCTCATGTCTTCAGACTATAACCCTGTCATTCAACTGTCTCATGTCTTCAGACTATAACCCTGTCATTCTGCTGTCTCATGTCTTCAGACTATAACCCTGTCATTCAACTGTCTCATGTCTTCAGACCATAACCCTGTCATTCAACTGTCTCATGTCTTCAGACTATAACCCTGTCATTCTGCTGTCTCATGTCTTCAGGTCAAGGTTGGGTTCAGTTCAGTTTGTACCCGCTTCAGGCAGTTAAATGAATTAAATGAAAACAAAACAGAGTCTTACTAGTCGGACCAGGGGGTGTGTGTTCTTACTAGTCGGACCAGGGGGTGTGTGTTCTTACTAGTCGGGACCAGGGGGCGTGTTCCTACTAGTCGGGACCAGGGGGTGTGTGTTCTTACTAGTCGGGACCAGGGGGTGTGTGTTCTTACTAGTCGGACCAGGGGGTGTGTGTTCTTACTAGTCGGGACCAGGGGGTGTGTGTTCTTACTAGTCGGACCAGGGGCGTGTGTTCTTACTAGTCGGACCAGGGGGCGTGTGTTCTTACTAGTCGGACCAGGGGGGGCGTGTTCTTACTAGTCGGACCAGGGGCGTGTTCTTACTAGTCGGACCAGGGGGGCGTGTGTTCTTACTAGTCGGACCAGGGGGCGTGTGTTCTTACTAGTCGGACCAGGGGGTGTGTGTTCTTACTAGTCGGACCAGGGGGTGTGTGTTCTTACTAGTCGGACCAGGGGGCGTGTGTTCTTACTAGTCGGACCAGGGGGTGTGTGTTCTTACTAGTCGGACCAGGGGGTGTGAGTTCTTACTTGTCGGACCAGGGGGGTGTGTGTTCTTACTAGTCGGACCAGGGGGTGTGTGTTCTTACTTGTCGGACCAGGGGGTGTGTGTTCTTACTAGTCGGACCAGGGGGTGTGTGTTCTTACTTGTCGGACCAGGGGGTGTGAGTTCTTACTTGTCGGACCAGGGTGTGTGTGTTCTTACTAGTCGGACCAGGGGGCGTGTGTTCTTACTAGTCGGACCAGGGGGGTGTGAGTTCTTACTTGTCGGACCAGGGGGTGTGTGTTCTTACTAGTCGGGACCAGGGGGTGTGTGTTCTTACTAGTCGGACCAGGGGGTGTGTGTTCTTACTAGTCGGACCAGGGGGTGTGTGTTCTTACTAGTCGGACCAGGGGGTGTGTGTTCTTACTTGTCGGACCAGGGGGTGTGAGTTCTTACTAGTCGGACCAGGGGGTGTGTGTTCTTACTTGTCGGACCAGGGGGTGTGTGTTCTTACTAGTCGGACCAGGGGGTGTGTGTTCTTACTAGTCGGACCAGGGGGTGTGTGTTCTTACTAGTCGGACCAGGGGGTGTGTGTTCTTACTAGTCGGACCAGGGGGTGTGTGTTCTTACTTGTCGGACCAGGGGGTGTGAGTTCTTACTAGTCGGACCAGGGGGTGTGTGTTCTTACTTGTCGGACCAGGGGGTGTGTGTTCTTACTAGTCGGACCAGGGGGTGTGTGTTCTTACTTGTCGGACCAGGGGGTGTGAGTTCTTACTTGTCGGACCAGGGGGTGTGAGTTCTTACTTGTCGGACCAGGGGGTGTGAGTTCTTACTTGTCGGACCAGGGTTTCATGGGGGGCATCCCTCTGTCGTTTGAGACAGCTGATCTCTTCCTAGAGTCGGACTCCAGAACGATCCTCATTCTGTTGCTGTTGGGCATCTTATCTGGGAATTCATAAAAATAAAATGTGACTGGATGGATTAGATCAGACCAGTCTGGGTTAGTGAGCCCCCCTCCCCATCGCTGTCCCAGCTTCCCTCTAAATCCACATCTAGACTAGTTGTGTTGAAGGTGTGTACCTCTGTCCCAGCTTCCCTCTAAATCCCCATCTAGACTAGTTGTGTTGAAGGTGTGTACCTCTGTCCCAGCTTCAGCTTCCCTCTAAATCCCCATCTAGACTAGTTGTGTTGAAGGTGTGTACCTCTGTCCCAGCTTCAGCTTCCCTCTAAATCCCCATCTAGACTAGTTGTGTTGAAGGTGTGTACCTCTGTCCCAGCTTCCCTCTAAATCCACATCTAGACTAGTTGTGTTGAAGGTGTGTACCTCTGTCCCAGCTTCAGCTTCCCTCTAAATCCACATCTAGACTAGTTGTGTTGAAGGTGTGTACCTCTGTCCCAGCTTCAGCTTCCCTCTAAATCCCCATCTAGACTAGTTGTGTTGAAGGTGTGTACCTCTGTCCCAGCTTCAGCTTCCCTCTAAATCCCCATCTAGACTAGTTGTGTTGAAGGTGTGTACCTCTGTCCCAGCTTCCCTCTAAATCCACATCTAGACTAGTTTGTGTTGAAGGTGTGTACCTCTGTCCCAGCTTCAGCTTCCCTCTAAATCCACATCTAGACTAGTTGTGTTGAAGGTCCCTCCCCATCGCTGTCCCAGCTTCCCTCTAAATCCACATCTAGACTAGTTGTGTTGAAGGTCCCTCCCCATCGCTGTCCCAGCTTCCCTCTAAATCCACATCTAGACTAGTTGTGTTGAAGGTGTGTACCTCTGTCCCAGCTTCAGCTTCCCTCTAAATCCCCATCTAGACTAGTTGTGTTGAAGGTGTGTACCTCTGTCCCAGCTTCCCTCTAAATCCACATCTAGACTAGTTGTGTTGAAGGTGTGTACCTCTGTCCCAGCTTCCCTCTAATCCCCATCTAGACTAGTTGTGTTGAAGGTGTTGTACCTCTGTCCCAGCTTCCCTCTAAATCCACATCTAGACTAGTTGTGTTGAAGGTGTGTACCTCTGTCCCAGCTTCAGCTTCCCTCTAAATCCACATCTAGACTAGTTGTGTTGAAGGTGTGTACCTCTGTCCCAGCTTCAGCTTCCCTCTAAATCCCCATCTAGACTAGTTGTGTTGAAGGTGTGTACCTCTGTCCCAGCTTCAGCTTCCCTCTAAATCCACATCTAGACTAGTTGTGTTGAAGGTGTGTACCTCCGTCCCAGCTTCAGCTTCCCTCTAAATCCCCATCTAGACTAGTTGTGTTGAAGGTGTGTACCTCTGTCCCAGCTTCCCTCTAAATCCACATCTAGACTAGTTGTGTTGAAGGTGTGTACCTCTGTCCCAGCTTCCCTCTAAATCCCCATCTAGACTAGTTGTGTTGAAGGTGTGTACCTCTGTCCCAGCTTCCCTCTAAATCCCCATCTAGACTAGTTGTGTTGAAGGTGTGTACCTCTGTCCCAGCTTCCCTCTAAATCCACATCTAGACTAGTTGTGTTGAAGGTGTGTACCTCTGTCCCAGCTTCAGCTTCCCTCTAAATCCCCATCTAGACTAGTTGTGTTGAAGGTGTGTACCTCGGTCTCTGTGAGGCAGGTCCTCCCCCATAGTCAGTCCTATGAGGTTGGGTCTTTGGGCGTTGACCCTGTGGCGGTACACAGGTCTGGATGTGTTGGTGAGGCTGGGAGCTTCAGGGTTATACATGTCAGAATCATACTGGTCTGGGGGGGAGAGAGAGAGAGAGAGAGACAGAGGAGGAGGAGACAGAGAGAGAGGAGGAGGAGACAGAGAGAGAGAGAGAGAGACAGAGACAGAGACAGAGACAGAGACAGAGACAGAGACAGAGACAGAGACAGAGACAGAGAGACAGAGACAGAGAGAGACAGAGAGAGACAGAGAGAGACAGAGAGAGACAGAGAGAGACAGAGAGAGACAGAGACAGAGAGAGAGACAGAGAGACAGAGAGACAGAGAGACAGAGAGACAGAGAGACAGAGAGACAGAGAGACAGAGACAGAGAGACAGAGAGACAGAGAGACAGAGAGACAGAGAGAGACAGAGACAGAGACAGAGACAGAGACAGAGAGAGAGACAGAGAGAGAGAACAGAGACAGAGAGAGAGACAGAGAGAGAGAACAGAGAGAGAGAGAGAGAGAGAGAGCAAGAGAGACAGAGAGAGAGAGAGAGAGACAACAACACTGACTCAAAAGAGAGAAGACATTTAACTTCCACATTATCCCTTCCCCTCTGAAAAGACACACGGATACAGATGTTGGAGAAGTTGATAACTGTAGGGCACATTATGCAGCGGTTAGGGAGGAGTAAGTGCCTTGCTCAAGGGCACAACGGCAGGAGATGGCACCTAGGATTTGACACTAGCAAACCCTCTGGTTGTCAACTCACACACACACACACACACACACATAGCTCCATCTCAAACCTACCTGGTGAGAAGAGAGGCGGTGGGACCTGGGGGATGGAGGATCGTATCCCTGTGGTTACGATAGTGGGAACGGAGTTAGGAGGAGCATCCATCCCTGATGCCTGGAGGGGGGGGCCCTGGTGGGGGGGGCACAGAATTAAATAAAACACTAGAATGGTTTCTGATTTATTCCTGACCAAGACGGCTGCCATTAACAGAACATTATAGAACTACGCAAGTCTGACAACAAACACTCTAGTGAATTATTGTCTCTATGGAGATCTCTATAGGAGGGCAAACACCCTACGGACTACGGTCAAAAGAAGTGCACTCTACAGGGTGCCATTTGGGATGCAAACGATGCGTCTTAAGCCAAGGGGCGTTTTAAATAGATCCAGTGATTTCCTACCTGGCGGCAGGCTGCTTGGCAGGGGCACAGGGGGGCGGAGGTTGACGGGCGCTGGGGTCATGAGAGGGGGAGGTCCTGGGGGGGGCGGTAAGCTTGGGGGGGGCTGGGCGACCCCCGGGACAGGGGGAGGGGCTTGGAACATGTTGGGCAGATTAACGTCCTCCACCACCACTGGATCAATACCGTGGTCGAACGGGCAAATGTCCCCACGCATACAGAAGCCCTTCTCTGGAAGACAACACATCAACACTATACAGTAAACAGATAAGACTGCACACAGAAACAACACCATCTGTCATGGCTCCACGCATACAGAACAAACCATTGTCAAGAAGCACAGATAGAGGACAGTTAGATACAGAAGGCCTTCTCCGGAACAGAAGACAGAAGGAATACAAATCACTCCAAACCTTCTCCTTGTCCTCAGTCATACTGGACATTAAAATACAGTTTTGGTGTAAAAACAAAAAACATCTTTAGGCATGTGAACTTCCTTCCTGCTTACCGTCGTAGTCACGGCAACGTTTCCTTTGCTGAGGGGGCGGACCCCGGTTGAAGGGCGGTGGCGGAGGGGGCCGGTCTAGTGAGTGTTCCGTGTGGAAGTCCGACCAGCTGTCCGTCACAGAGGTGTTGCTGTGGTTACCTTGAGGGGCGATCACCGTGATGGTGCTGCTGAGCGTCGGCACGGGGAACGTGGTGGTTGCCGTGGGGATCGGCAGGAGGCCGTCACCAGCTCCAACCTCCTTCCCCCGGTCTCCTCGGTCGGCCTCATACTTTGACTTCCCAGCATCCCGCTCTGTGATCAGAAGGATAGTGGAAGTGGCAGGAAGTAGGACAATGTAAACAGTCATGATATCTAGAGCAGGAGGTAGAGCGGCTGGGCGTGCATGCTTTTGTTCCAGCCCAGCACTAGTCGAACAGCCAGACATACTGACTTTCAAATAATCAACTGATCATGGTCTTCCGTCTTAACCTTGATATTTTAAATCAGGTGTGCTGGAACACAAGCAAGGTTTGGGTCGGTCTGGCTGGAGTCACTCCCGGGTTCTCCCTCCCCCATCTATGCGACTAACGAAGAAAGAACGAGCGAAGAAGCAGGGAAAAGGAGAAGAAAGAAAGAAAGAACAAAAGAGAGAGGAAGAAAAGAAGAAGAAGAAGAACGGAAGAAAAAAGCAATCCAATAAGAAAGCCAGAAAGACCAGAAAACCATAAAAACCCGAAAAAAACCGAGAACGAAGCACGAAACGAAATTTTAGACACCTCCTCTCCTCCTCCTTCCCTCCTCCCTCCTCCCTCCATCCTCCTCCCTCCTCTTTCTCCCCCTCCCTCCCTCCCTCCTTCCCCTCCCTGCTCCTGGAGTGACTCCTGCTGTGACCCCCTGGCTCGGTTTCTCTGTCCCGGTCCCGGTCCCTGGCCCGGTCCTTGCTCCTGCTCCTGCTGCGGCTGTAGCTACGACCCCGCCTACGGTTGTAACGGTCCCGGTAGAGTCCCCTCTCGGGGGGTTGCGGTCGTAATCGTTTTGCTTCCTGGGACGGTCGTCCCTTTTACGGTCATCCCTCGTCTGAGAAACGATAGGGGAAGGGGAGGAGGGGGAGAGAGAGAGAGGGGGGGAGGGAGGGGGGGAGGGAGAGAGGAGGGGAGGGGAGGAGAGAGAGAGGGGGAGGAAGGAGAGGGGGAGGAGGGAGAGAGAGGGAGGAGAGAGAGAGGAGATGAGAGCGAGAGGGAGAGAGAGGGGAGGAGGGAGAGGAGGGGGGGGGGAGGGAGGGAAGAGCGAGAGGGGAGGAGGGAGAGCGAACGGGGAGGGGGGGAGAGCGAAAGGGGAGGGGGAGAGCGAGAGGGGAGGAGGGAGAGCGAGAGGGAGGGAGCGAGAGGGGAGAGGGAGTGAGAGCGAGAGGGAGGAGGGAGAGATGAGAGAGAGAGCGATGAGAGAGCGGAGAGAGAAGAGAGAGAGAGAGAGAGAGAGAGATCATGGAGGAGGAGAGAGAGAGGAGAGGAGGAGAGAGAAAGAGAGAGAGAGAGCGAGAGAGAGGGGGGAGAACACAGTCATTTAGCCAACAACCCAGTGAACAGTAGGGGAGGACAGAGACAGGTAGACTTGACCAGGTGTGGGTATTTATGCTTCTGACTCAAATAGCACCCTATTCCCTATATAGTACACTACTTTACACCAGAGCCCTATGACACCCTATTCCCTATATAGTACACTAATTTTGACCAGGTCAATTTAATAGGGAACTATTTAAGATGTTGTCATAATAATAATAATATGCCATTTAGCAGACGCTTTTATCCAAAGCCACTTACAGTCATGTGCGCATAAATGTTTACGTATGGGGTGGTCCCGGGGATCGAACCCACTACCCTGGCGTTAATAGCGCCGTGCTCTACCAATTGAGCTACAGGGGACCATGTTGACACTGACCTGCTGTCTCTGCTGTACGGGGAGCTGGACGGGGGACTGTAGTTCACTCTCCTGGAGAACTTCTTGCCCCGGTCCTCCTCACGACTTGGCTGGAAAACACACCCAAGGTTGGAATAAGATACTCAAAGTACCAGTAGATGAATTGCATTGATCTCATCCTGTTTACCATTTACAAAACATCCCACTTCATGTTTACAAAGAATCCTATTGGACAATAGATCTCTACTGTTAGGACTGTGGAGTGTAACTTTCCAATGCCAGCTATGCGGAGGCACTAGACTCTACCGCAGGTGTGTTTCCTGTAGCGTCACTGTTCAAGAGAAGACGTGTCGGTTCCCCCCCCCAGACACAGAGTAAACATGCCCTCTAAGTGTTGGCGCCTTTGGACATGACTCAGCCAGTCACCTCATCTTTCCTCTGGTCGTCCTTGTCCGTCCTGGTCGCCTCTGCTTTGACCGCGGAGCCTGGCTGATGGTCTTGCTGAGGTAGGTAGCTTTTGGCGTTCACAGCTTCGAACAGTCTATCAACAAAGGTCTGCGTCTCTGGCGGAGAAGACAGGAGAGGAAGACGAGGGGAGGAAGACGAGGTGTGAGCGTATCGTATCGTATTGGGCTGACACTGACACATTGCATATTAGGTCGCGACTATACATTTGTTTGAAGTAAGTACCTTTCTGTAGAAATACATCCAACTGGTCGATGCACAGGGCTTTGAGCTCCGTCTCACTTTTATCTTTCTTCACCAAGGCAACGACGTAGTTAGCGAGGGCAGAAGGGTCCGCATCACAACTAGAGAGGAAAAGTGTTGGCACAAATACAGAGTTAGCCAGACAACCCTAGCTATACAATAACACAATTAGTTAGGATATATTCTTACCATACCGAGAAGACCAATCGATTAAAAGATAACAGACCATTTCTCAACTATAAACTCCTATTTTTGTTTTAAATATCTAGCCACAATGATAGAAACATTAACTAGCTAGCCAGTTAGCATCCAACGATGCTAGCCATGTCTTCAGTCATGTCGTTGCATCTGGTGCTGGCAAGCTAATGCTGCTAACGTTATGTAGCTACTTACATTGGTTCGAGGGTTTTGAAAAGCCACGTTTTCAAGGCATCTAGGTTTTCTATGATCATCTTCAGACACCAGTCAACTTCTCTTCCACTCAGTAGCCAGGGTTTAGTTCTCCTACGGAAATGGCTCAGCTCCGAAATGACAAGATACTGTATGTCCAAGACAAGAAGTCAGCAAGCTAACATTAGCCGTTAGCTAGCGCCTTCTCTCAAACCTGCCTGGCTAGCTGTTTATAACGGTTCTCTTCAACGCAAAGGCCCAACGACTTGCTGTAGCTAGCTATATTGTCTTGTGTGTTTCTTGCTTTTTTAAAATTCTAGCAATACAAAGGGGAAGACAATTTGTTGACGAGAAACTATTCCCTCAGCTAGTTTGAATGTTCATGCAGTGCAGGCCTCCCCTCATTGCAAATAAATGGAGACTATTTACTCCGTGTACTCTCGCTGACAGATATCGCGAGAATAACAAGAACGGTCACATTGTAACTTGGTATTTGGTATTCTCTCGCTGACAGATATCGCGAGAATAACAAGAACGGTCACATTGTAACTTGGTATTTGGTATTCTCTCGCTGACAGATATCGCGAGAATAACAAGAACGGTCACGTTGTAACTTTGTATTTGGTATTTATTAGGGTCCCGATTTGCCGATACAAACGCATCAGCTACTCTTCCTGGGGTCCACATTAAACATAGTACATAGTACATAGTACAGAACATTATTAGTCAAGGACTGAAATACATACATTTAAAACGTCACACATAGCCTACATATCAGTACATATGCACACTATCTAGGTCTAATAAATAGTACAGTGCAAATTACAATACAATATATATAAAATGGCTGTCTCTTCACAGTCCCCTTTGGGAAGTAAGGTGTTATTTTATCTGGTTTTAACTGGTTTTATTGGGGTGGCAGAGAGTTCCATGTAGTCGTGGCTCTATTTAATACTTTGTGTTTCCCAGCCTCTGTTCTGGACCTGGGGACTGTGAAGAGACCTCTGGTTGCAGGTCTTGTGTTGTACCGATGAGCGTCCGAACTATGTGCCAACAGCTTAAACAGACAGCTTGGTACTGTGGTGTCGAATAACGATGCTGTGTTGCTGTGTTGACAAGGAATCCGCCGACACTGAACTTGATTATAAACGTTTACTATATCAGAGATTTCAGCATCATTTTACAGATTTCTGCAGAATCTGGAGAGCAACAAACCCAATCTCAAATATGATCACTCTCCCCGTCCCTTTGTTAAAACATGGTATATATCCTATGCTTCATGTAACATAAGATGGCGTGACTTGAATAAACCAATCTCTGGCCTTATACATATCCCAATGTCCTCTGTTTTAGGGGGCCCCCTATAGTAATAGTTTCCAGATGTTTCATCAAAGTAGAGCAAAGTTCATCTAACCAACAATATGAAAACCTCAGCCAAAGTGATTGAAGTTTCAGATACTACAGTACCTTTGACACATCAATACCTCACACAGATACTACAGTACCTTCAACACATCAATACCTCATACAGATACTACAGTACCTTCAACACATTCAACACATCAATACCCTCACACAGATACTACAGTACTCAACATTCAACACTCACACAGATACTACAAGTACCTTCAAAAAACACGATACTACAGTACCTTCAACACATCAACACCTCACACAGATACTACAGTACCTTCAACACATCAATACCTCACACAGATACTACAGTACCTTCAACACATCAATACCTCACACAGATACTACAGTCCTTCGACACATCAACACCTCACACAGATACTACAGTACCTTCAACACATCAATACCTCACACAGATACTACAGTACCTTCAACACATCAATACCTCACACAGATACTACAGTACCTTCAACACATCAATACCTCACACAGATACTACAGTACCTTCAACACATCAATACCTCATACAGATACTACAGTACCTTCAACACATCAATACCTCACACAGATACTACAGTACCTTCAACACATCAATACCGCACACAAAGAAAAAAAAATGTATGCACTCACTAACTGTAAATCGCTCTGGATAAGAGCGTCTGCTAAAATGTAAATGTGTTCTTCTATCAGTTTTTTTAAACTGGTTTTATTGTTAGCTTGAGTTACCTGGGGTGGCAGAGAGTTCCATGTAGTCGTGGCTCTATTTAATACTTTGTGTTTCCCAGCCTCTGTTCTGGACCTGGGGACTGTGAAGAGACCTCTGGTTGCAGGTCTTGTGTTGTACCGATGAGTGTCGTAACTATGTGCCAACAGCTTGAACAGACAGTTCGGTACCTTCAACACATCAACACCTCGCACGAAGACCAATAGTGATGCAGTCAATCTCTCCTCAACTTTGAGCCAGGAGAGACTGACATGCGTGTTACTGACACTTGCTGCTTTGTTCTGGACCAACTGCATTTTTACCTGTCTCCTTCTTTGCTGCACATGACCACACAGCTGGGAAGTAGTCCAGGTGCGACAAAACTAGGGCCTGTAGGACCTGTCTGGTCGACTGAGATGTCAAGAAGGCAGAGCAACGTCCTATCATGGACAGACCTCTTCCCATTTTAGCAACCATTGAGTTTATATGTTTTGACCATGACAGCTTGCTATCTACGGTTACACCCAGCAGTTTAGTCTCCTCAACTTGCTCAATAGCCACATTATTCAACAATAGATCTAAACGAGGTTTAGCATTGAGCGAGTGATTTGACCCAAAAATTATTCTTTGAGTTTTTAAGATATTTAGCACCAGCCTAATGCTAGTTACCCATCCTGAAACTGACTGGAGCTCTATGTTAAGGGTGTCAGTTATTTATTTTACTGTTGCAGCCGACGTGTTTACTGTTGAGTCGTCAGCGTACATGGACACACAGGCTTTATTCAAGGTCAGTGGAAGGTCATGACTAAAAACAACGGTATACCACACTCAACTGAATTTGCATGAGAGAGGCTTCCATTAACGAAAACCCTCTGTGTCCTATTAGATAGGTAACTCTTAATCCATAATAAGGATGCAAATCCATGACACCTACGTTTTTTCAGCAATAGGTTAGGATCAATTACATCAAAAGCTGCACTGAAGTCTAACAGAACAGCTCCCACAATCTTCTTACTGTCGTGTTCTTTCAGCCAATCATCAGTCATTTGTGTCAGTGCCGAGCATGTTGCGTGCCCTTCCCTATAAGCGTGCTAAAAGTCTGTTGTTAATTTGTTTTCTGTAAAATTTACATTTACATTTACATTTACGTCATTTAGCAGACGCTCTTATCCAGAGCGACTTACAAATTGGTGCATTCACCTTATAGCCAGTGGGACAACCACTTTACAATGTTTTTATTTTTTATTTTTATTTTTTATTTTTTACAAATACAAATAACTTTGTATTTGATCAAACACCATTTTTTCCCAAAAAGTTTGCTAAGCACTTGTAACAGAGCACCCTTTAATGTTTGAACCATTAAAGGGTGCTCTGCTATTCTTGGGTGGTGGAATGACCTTTGTCTCCCTCCATGTCTGAGGGCACACACCGTCTTCTAGGCTTCAATTGAAGATGTGGCAAACAGGAGTCACAATGTATTCCGCTACCAACCTCAGCAAATTACCCCTCCAGGTTGTCGGTACCAGGTGGTTTGTCCTCATTTATAGATAGCAACAAGTTTCTCCCCTCTTCCACACCCACTTTGTGGAACTCAAAACTACAGTGCTAGTCTTATAATAATAACATAATATGCCATTTAGCAGACGCTTTTATCCAAAGCGACTTACAGTTATGCGTGCATACATTTTTTTTTATTTTTTTTTGTGTATGGGTGGTCCTGGGGATCGAACCCACTACCTTGGCGTTACAAGCGCCGTGCTCTACCAGCTGAGCTACAGAGGACCCAGTCTTTCATTATTTGGTCCATTATGCATGACTATGAAGGCTCAGCGTTTGTTGTTTGCATGTCGTACCTAAGTTTGCTAATCTTGTCAACCAAAAAAAGTTATTAAAGTGGTCGGCAGTATCAAAGGGTTTTGTTATGAACAAGCCACCTGCCTCAATGAAGGATGGAGCCGAGTTATCAATGAAGGATGGAGCCGAGTTATCAATGAAGGATGGAGCCGAGTTATCAATGAAGGATGGAGCCGAGTTATCAATGAAGGATGGAGCCGAGTTATCAATGAAGGATGGAGCCGAGTTATCAATGAAGGATGGAGCCGAGTTATCTTTGTGTTTTTTTTTAAGTTACTCCAGAGCTTTTTAACTATCATTCTTTATATCATTTATCTCTGTTCCGTGGTATAGTTTCTTCTTCTTTTTGTTTAGTTTAGTGACCTGATTTCTCAATTCACTGTATGTTGGCAGTCTGCTGTGTTATCAGACTTATGTGCTGTTCCCTTTGCCTCGTCGCTCTCTACGTGACGGATCTTCCCCCCTCACAAGGGAACACCACGATCCTGGTCGTTGTGGATCGGTTTTCTAAGTCCTGCCGCCTCATTCCGCTGCCCGGCCTCCCTACGGCCCTACCCTATTTACACACGTCTTCCGGCACTACGGGGTACCTGAGGATATAGTGTCTGATCGGGGTTCCCAGTTCACCTCTAGGGTTTGGAGGGCGTTCATGGAACGTCTGGGAGTCTCGGTCAGTCTGACCTCAGGATTTCACCCCGAGAGTAACGGGCAGGTGGAGAGAGTCAACCAGGAGGTGGGTAGGTTTCACCCCGAGAGTAACGGGCAGGTGGAGAGAGTCAACCAGGAGGTGGGTAGGTTTCACCCCGAGAGTAACGGGCAGGTGGAGAGAGTCAACCAGGAGGTGGGTAGGTTTCACCCGAGAGTAACGGGCAGGTGGAGAGAGTCAACCAGGAGGTGGGTAGGTTTCACCCCGAGAGTAACGGGCAGGTGGAGAGAGTCAACCAGGAGGTGGGTAGGTTTCACCCCGAGAGTAACGGGCAGGTGGAGAGAGTCAACCAGGAGGTGGGTAGGTTTCACCCCGAGAGCAACGGGCAGGTGGAGAGAGTTCAACCAGGAGGTGGGTAGGTTTCACCCCCGAGAGTAACGGGGCAGGTGGAGGAGAGTCAACCAGGAGGTGGGTAGGTTTCACCCCGAGAGCAACGGGCAGGTGGAGAGAGTCAACCAGGAGGTGGGTAGGTTTCACCCCGAGAGTAACGGGCAGGTGGAGAGAGTCAACCAGGAGGTGGGTAGGTTTCTGAGGTCGTATTGCCAGGACCAGCGGGGGGAGTGGTCGGTTTTCCTCCCCTGGGCAGAGATAGCCCAGAACTCCATCCGCCACTCCTCCACTAACCTTTCTCCATTCCAATGTGTATTAGGTTATCAGCCGGTCCTGGCACCTTGGCATCAGAGCCAGATCGAGGCACCTGCGGTGGACGAGTGGTTTCGGACATGTACGTCTGCAGCGGGCCATCAGGCGGCAAAAGGCGAGCGCCGACCGCCACCG